TGTGTGTGTGTGTGTGTGTGTGTTTACACCTACATGTTGTTTATAAAGTGCAAATCAAGTGTGAAGCACTATGCTATGTTTTTTACATAACTAACTTATTTTGTTATCAACAATAACCCAGTTAAGTAGAAATTATAATCTCCATCTTACGGGTGAGGAAACAAGGTCTCAAAGACATTAAGAAACTTGGTCAAGGTCACACAGCCAGTAGGATGTAGGACTCAAGTTGAATCCAGGGCCTGTGTTGTTTCCATGAAATTATGTTGTTTCTTCATTGATAATTTTTTGCCCTGAAATTCTCCTTCATTTAGGGGAAGGGCGGCCATAGGGCCAGATTGTAGGGAAAGCACCATTTATGTGGGGCTTCCTCCGCTTTCCCCTTCTCTGTTGACTCTCTGCTGTCCACTGTGGGGTCTGCGGCCTCAGCCGAGGGATGGGACATAGCCCTTGTCTGGAAGGGAAATGAAGGGGGATTGAATGATTTTCTCAGCTTTAAAGTAGTAACAGGAATTAGACTTCATAGGGCTGTTGTGGAGATGGATAAAATGATGTGTGTGATAGGGCTTTGTAAAACCAGAAAACATTAGCCATTTAGTAAGACACTGGACAGCCTTGTGGGCAGCTAATATGGTCTCTACTCATGAGCCAAGGATGTTTGATCTTCTGTCTCCCACTGAAACGTCCTTCCTGTTTTTTTCCAGGTTTTGTCTCTAGCTATTTGGGGTGGGGGAACTGGGAAGAAATTTGAAAATTAGTAAGTTACCAGTAATGTCATTTTATTTATCTATCTCCCAATATCTGTATGTATTATGTATGTATGTGTATATGTATCTATCTTTCTGTCTATCTATCCTTCTAGGAGTTTTTCTTTTTTTTAAAAAAAGAACTCTAAATCAATGAATGGCAGCCCTGCAGTCAGTATGGTGGGCATTCCCAGTCAGTATGGGTTTATTCCCAGGAAATAAACCACAGCCTTCTTTATCTACATTTTGGCCAGTCCTAAATGTTCTGTAAAGTTTCATTATTTTTCTGCTGTTTTTCAGTGTTGTGGGGACAAGCAGTGGGGAGACTGGAGGCCTCACTTGGCTGTGATTCTGTCGAATTCAGCTGGAGACCTGGAGTTGTACCAGCATGCGATTGTCACCATGGGGGATACCCTGGGTAAGCAGACACCAGCACTGTCCCCTCTTCTCCCCTAGGGTGTCTCCAGGCCAGCTTTAGACATCTTGTCCATAGATTCTCAGATTCTGTGTAGGGTCAGAGTCTGTGTCCCTGGCTTTTCCTGAACCCAGGAGTCTCAGTGTTTTGGAGAAAGAAACTCCAGGGAAAGGAGTTCCCTTCTTCTCTGTTTCCCAGGCCTCTGAGACAGGGTGCTCTGCTGCTGTGGGAGTCTCCTCCCAGCCATTGATTCTCCACCCCTGGGTGAGATTCTCTTGTAGACGGAGTTAACACATGGGAGACCTCACCTCCTGCTGCTGTTAGTCCCTCATGACCCAGCTCAACCGGATAGAAAATTCTGTTTCTGCCTGAACTGCCCTGAGCAATTCTGTAGTCTTTATTTCTGTCACCTCTCGGTGAATCACTTGGGGGCGACTGAAAATTCCAGATCAGTGTTGTTAAATTTGGTCAAGGGGCAGAACATCTAGAAATCATGATGCTCTTTGTGGAGCTTTTTGAAACATTACTCTGTTAAACTTAAAATAGCGATGTGGAAGTTGTGCCAAGTGAGACGGCAGGTCATTCTGCACCCTGGATGCAGGGAAGGGTGTGTGTGGAGCCCTTCCTGGGTGTCAGATGCTGTGCTAGGAACTTTACCTACATGAAGTATTTCAGTTTTGAGGCAGTGGAAAATGTACGGGAGAACATTTTAAACTTGGGAACAATTTGGTGATTAATGTGACTTTTATGAGCACTGGGGAACGTCTTCCATTGTTTGGTTTGAACAGGGGAGCAGCAGTGCCCCAGGAAGCCTAGTTTAAGAATTGCTCCCCACAGTGGTCTGTTTCTTCACTCAGCTGTAGGCATCTCTGCTCACTCCTCACCCTCAGGAAGAACTAAAATGTTTATAAAATCCCTAATAAAAAATCCTTTAGGGGGAATGTGAAATAGTGCCTTATTCTGGCTGAAGAGAATAGAAATGTAATGTCTGAGGCCAAAAACGCCTGTAGGAGGAGTGGGACTTAGGGTCATGTGACTCAGGCTGTGAGAAGTTCACTCATTTGTTCCCGCAAGGCTTCTCCCCTCTGACTGCTGAGTCCACTGTTCCATCTCTCTTTCATCCCGCCCAGGCCCAGATGATGGGTCCCCACATGGGTGTCTTCCATGATTGAATCTTGTTTTGCTCCTCCTGCAGCTGGGAGGGGCCTTGTGGAAGCAGCTCACTTCTGCTATCTCATGGCTCATGTGCCCTTCGGCCACTACACCGTGAAGACAGACCATCTGACCTTGCTGGGCAGTAGCCACAGGTATGTGATTGTTTTAGTCCTTGCTGGATTTCATGGCTTCATTTTCATTTTCTTGTGTGGATTTCAGCTACTGCTGGTCCCCTTCCCTGGGACTGTCTTCTGTGCAGGTCTGGGCAAAGAGATGCCCAGTGGGCACCGTGTCACACCCAGGGGGCCTCAGGCCCCAAGTCCTGCTCTGAGAAGCTGCAAGCTGGTGCTTTTTGGGTGTATTGTGCTCCTGTGGCCACTGGGAGGCACCCTCACTCCACAACCAGAGACTGTCTCAACCGAAAAAAAAAAGAAGGAAAAAAGGTGTGGAGGCTTGTGGCTGTGTTAGGTAGCCCTGGCCTGTCCTGAGAGCCCACTCTGAGCAAAATGGGAAGGTGAGAGTTTATGTTTAGTCTCTCTTAGGGTTCAAGCACCCCTACGATAACTGATGCACAAGCTTTTTAGAGTCTCACTGGTCACTTACTTTATGTTGGCCGTAACATATAACATTAGGGTCTTCACACAGAAGGATCTGCCCCTTTAACGGGCAAACGGATGGATCAGTTTGCTCTTAGTGGTTCTCTCTGTTCTGGATCTCACTATCGCTCTGCGCATCACAGTTATGATTCACTACGCTCTTACGTTGTGCCCGTTATGTCATTTTCTTTGCACTATTTCCTTTAACAGTTACAAATTTACACTATGAAGGAGGTATACTTTAAATCTTCACTTAGAGATGAGGGAACCAAGTCCCAGAGAGGCTGACTGACTTGTCTAAGGTGGTACAGCTAGCGTGTGGTTGGATCAGACTTGGAACCCGGGCAGTGAGGCTGCAGAGCCCTTCCTTTTAGCCATTGCTCCAAAATGCCCACCTCTACAGCAACGCACCGGGCTCGTAGGCTGGCCTCTCAAGGCCTGGGCCTCTGATGTCACATAGTCGGCTTATCAAAGAAGCCCACCTGCACCACATGTGCAGTGAGTGTGTGTTAGTGTCTCCCCTCCTGTGTTTATGTTGTATAAGGGAATTGCTGGAGATAAAGTCCTAACTCCCAGGGATAACCCTGGCGCCTATGATTCGAACACCATGTCAAGTATAGAGGGGAGAGATTTCGGGGCACGTGGGACTCTTGTGGCCCCCTGGGATCACACTCTCCCAGTCCTCTTCCTCACTGGCTGCATGGACATCATGGAAGGACAGTGCTGTGCTTCCTGGCTCAGTGGTCCTCCCTATTCCCTGCCACGCCTTCCCTTCTCAGTGCTCCTGGAGCGTCACATGGAGTGCTCCCTCTTTTATGCGAGTTTGTTCAGCCTAGAGTGCCTTTCCCAGGTGCATGCCAGGCTTTGGGGCACAAAGGCCAACTCCCAGCGTGTTTAAGAGGAGGAGCCTGGGCCCCATTGGGCAGCTCATCTTAAGTTACCCTCCTGCGAAGAAGGTGGGGGCCCCTTCCCCGCAGTCTCTGCCTCCCAGAGCCTCTGGGGCAGGCTTCTGTTCCTTCCCCAGCCTCAGTAAGGTAGAGGGAGAGGAGGCAAAACATTCACTCTGGGAGCCCAGAGTCTCCTTCCTTTGGAGCTGCCCCAGGGATCAGCCCAGGATGGAAACTCTACCATAAAAAGATGCAGCTGGTATTTGGCTGTCTACTAGGACTTAAATTCTGTGTCCCTTATCCCTCAATCTCTCTTATTGTTACTCCCTGGTTTTAGTCAAGAGTTTTTGAAATTTGCAACAACCGAGGCTATCCAGAGAACGGAAATCTTCGAGTACTGTCAGATGCTGGGCCGCCCCAAATCCTTCATCCCTTCTTTCCAGGTAAACCAAACCCAGATGAGGCCACCACCTTAGCTATGTCAGACAGCTGAGAGCAGTTGGATTTTCAGCTTGAGTACCTGGGGCTGAGTCATGCACTGAACTTTTTCTCATTAGCTTGACGTGGGAAAGTTTAGGATTTCTTTGTATGTCCTCTAAAGGTCTGCATTTTATAATATGAAAGCAAAACCTTGCACCTCTCTGCTGGAGGCTCCTGTCTCACTCCTGACAGATGACAATTGTGCCTGCCATCCCAGCCCCGTGCCTCCCCCCCTGCTGTCAGCTTCCTTGGCCCTTTTCTCCAAACAGCCCCACCTTCTCCTGCTCAGCCTCCACACCACGCTGCCTGGGAGGGAGTGGGAGCACCAGGCCCAGCCCAGAAGGCTGCTCACCCCTCTCCCTCCTTCTGACACTTCTTCTTCTTGGGTCTCCTTGAACTCTGCCCTCCACCTCTGGAAATTTCTGTGCTGTCCTTGGCCCTCGGCCTTCTTTCGCCCCTCTCAGAGCTTCAGCTGTGCAGGTGGTGTCCATATTGCAGGCTCTATGCTTTCTTTTCAACTTCTCTACTTGCTGTCCCATTGTCACTTTACATTCATAAAGACTAATGCTGTTATTGTGTCATCCTCCTGTCCAAATCCTCTCTGTGTTAATGAGATCCAGCATCATTCCTTCCTCTGTGAAGCCTCCCCTGGCCACTCTTACTGGTGGCCCTCGGTGGCCTCCACTGTAAAATGGGATGATAGTAGTTCCTGTGTAATGGACCTGGCCTGAAAGGTTAATTTCTGTAATGCACTAGAACAGTGCCTGGCAGAGGGTGGCTGTTCTCAGTGTTGACGTTGCAGCCACAGCGCTGGCTCCCAAGGCTGGACTCCAGGGCCCCCATTTGACATTGAACTCATGCTGCCTTATATTTCTTTCCTTTCATTTGCAGGTACCTTATCTTCCTGCCTGAATTATCTTCTGAAGGCAGAGACCTTTTCTAATGATTCTTTGTATCTCCTCAGTGCATAATATTGAGAGTGCACATAGCAACAACACACACACACACACACACAACACACACAATACCTTAAAAATGAGTTACTGTATCATAGGGACATGATCCCCTTTA